TCAGAGGCTATATGATTTTAGTTATGGGAGATAGGTACATAAGAAGACCTATAAAAGTATGTACAGGGATCTGGGAGCACAGAAGAGTCACGTTTGATTAAAAAACTTTTTTTTATTATGTTCAAATCTTTATCTCATCCTGCTTCCAATAACAACCACAACTAACATTCAGCTAACACACTTTAAAACAGGGTATTTTGCGTATGTCAGGAGTCACTAGCTCTGCACCTCTGGGGAGATTGGGGTAGTATAACTGAGTGATATGGGCTGTATAAATACACATGTATAAATCTGTGAGGGTAAGAGCTGTGGTAAACTTGAGAGCACTTGCCTCTTCAGAGGGAGGTAGCCGCTGCTCAGTATTGGCAGACTGTTGCCCCGTATCTGTGTGAACCCAGGAGTGGTGGGGGTTGGGAGATCATGATCCACTCAGTGCCAGCTCCCCCACCTTCAGATATCTGAAATTATACACACACACGTACACACACACACACACCTGTGATCTGGGGACAGTTGCTTTTCCCCTTAATTTAAATAGAATGTGAATAAAACATCTTTATAAAATGTTGCGTTTAAAAGTCAATTTGTAATGAACAATCTACACTACATATAAGTAATGTATTTGCCTCATGGCAAGTCCCTTAGCCACCACCCTCTCTTGAGATCCAACCGCAACCCTTAAACCTCATCTAAATAAAATTCTCAGGATGTTACCTAAGCTCAGTGTTCCTAGAACATTAGATTTTTTTTTAAAGATAATCTGAAAAACTGGGTTATGTCTCACTTAATTGTTCTTACACTCAAATGAGAGGGATAATGAGCCCTTGGATTGAGGGAAGGCATTCTCAGAGAGGCTGAGTATCTTGCTCAAAAGTCACAGAAGAAGTATGTAGTCTGTTTTTCTAGATTCTAAACTCTGTGTCTGTATTTCACTGTTTTCCCCACTCTTAGTCTTGGTGGTTGCAGTCTCACATATTTGCTCTTCAGAGAGGTTCTACTCAGCAACAGACCCTTCCATTAGGTAGAGGTTCTGTCAGTCCTTTTCCTCATTTGGCAGTGTCTTCTCGCTTGCTGAATTTTGTGACCTCACTCCTCTGCATGTCTGTGATACAAATAGGACCTGGTGTGAGCCTCTGTGCTCTTACTTTTTGTGCTTGGTCCTATGACCTTCTCTGCTCTCCCTATATCTCAGTAATCAGATTGGCTATAAATAGCAGTCTTTCTTTTTGGTTCCCTGTAAGCAGCTGTTCTGTCTCATCAGATGGTTTCCTGGAACTAGCAGGTAGTGGCAGAAAATCTCTTCCTTGGAGATTATGATATATCTATCTGCTCCTAAGGGCCACATACATTAGGTGTTTAGTTTTGATGGTCTGCCTTAGAACGTAGGAAGACCAAAGAAGGACATACCTTCCATGACCTGATTAATCATAACTACAAGTTTAGGATTATAGATCTGATCTCTTCCATATGCAAAACCTGACAATTTCTCATTGCTGTCACACTGCTACCTGGTGTCAAGCCACAGTTGACTGATCAACAATATTGATTCCCCTGCAGTTGCCCTTGCCTTCTTAGAATCTGTTTTTTAGCATAGCATTCAGAGAAATGTGATCACAGTGTATCTTTTTCAAATTCTTCCAATAGCTTCTATCTCAGGGTAAAATTCAAAGTCTTTGTGATGGTTTGCATGGGCCTTTACCACCTGGAATGCTGTTGCTTCTCTGAGTTCATCTCCTATTTGTCACTGTTCAGCCTCACTGCTGCTCCTTTAATATGCCTAGCATGTTCTTGCCTCAGCGTCTTTGCATTTACCATTCCCCATACTTGGCCTACTCTTTTCCCAGTTATTTATTCTGCTTGTCTTTCTCCAACATCTGCTTTAGTTATTTGCTTGAAAGTCACCTTCTTTATGACAAAGCACTAATAACACTACTCTTGCTATTCCTTATTCTCCTTCCTGGCTTTATATAAATTATTACTGTCCAGTTCTGCACTCGATTGAAGAAGCATCAGTAGGTGCCAGGTGATTGCAACTTCAGACAGAATGACCAAGGTTGTGTATAAGGATTGTCTGGGAAATCTGTGTTATATGCAACATAGATGGCATCACTGGGGACCTTAAGAAGCTAATCACAGCCCAAACTGGCACCTGTTGGAATGAGAGTATCTTAAAGAAGTAGTACATGATTTTTCAAAGATCATGTGTCTCTGGGGAAATTTGAAACCTGTGATGGGATCTGGAGCTTTAGTACTAATAAACAGAATTCTTTCCTCTGTCCTGCCCATTTTTCCTATTCCTTCCCACGCTCATTGGTATGAATGATTCTTTTAAAAATTTGTGTTAGGTCCTGCCTGCTGGCATAGGGGTTAAAGTCTCAGCACTATCAAGCTATCATTAGGCACTACAGCAGAGTTCGAACCCCGACCAAGGAGCTGACCCACATGGTGCAGCAGATCTCTCCTGTCTCACCTGCTGCTCCCCTCAGCAGTGTATTTCAGTTGATCTTCCTGTTCCAGTTTACTCTGTCTCTAGTCACTGCACCTCTGGCCTACACCTCAGTTCTTGTATGGATACATAAGTACAAATAAATCTTTTTAAAAATTCATGTGAATAAAAACTCAGAAACTGAAAAATAGATGGATAAATAGATGTCTCTCTTACCCAAAGAGGATGTCAACTCAATGAGGACAAAGATGTGTATCTGTTTTGTTTACTACTTATTGCATTTTCAATGGTTGGAAATATACCTGATAAATAGAAATCTTATATTTATTGCATAAATTAATGAATGAATTTCTGTTCCAGACTGGTTGCCTCAGACTCCTTGTGACTGTATCTTCCTTAAAACATCCCTGTGTCTGGTGTTTAAGATCTAATTATCACATCACTTAATTCCCCAGTGAGAACAATCAATGCTTCATAAAATTAACAAAATTGCATTAAGATTAATTTTGAAAAATAAGCAGCAGAAATTGACAAGAAATATTGTAAAGTAGGAGAGCCAGGCTAAGAGGAGGTGATCGAGACATTAGACATTTTTTTCTGAGTATAAAGAAAAAAGAAGTTTAATAAAATAGTGCCAGCACAAAAATAGAAATATGTTTTAGGGTAGGAGAATGGAAAGCCTAGAAATATGCCTACCTGTATGAAGGATTTAACTTTTTATTAAATACCATTTTTTAAAAAGGACTAGAAGACAGGGAACTTAATGAATGGGCTTGGGGAAACTGGGTGGCAACTTGGGGAAAATGTTAAGATTCAGGACCACAAGCCACATGTAGCCTTTAAATTTAAATTAAATTTTGAAAATAAAGTACTTAAGTTACATTAGTCACCTTATGAGTGCTTATAGCCAAATGTTTCTAGTGGTTTGGCTGGGTCAGATGTTGAACTGTGCATCAGTATCAGAAGCTGTACTGCACAGAACTGTGTTGTAGACATTGTCAAATTCCTTTTGCTTAGCCATCTAACGTTTGATTAGGTGAGAATGTTCCAATGTGGACTCTATTAAACATATCTCCTGAGTCATTAAGCCCAGATGTTTAATGTCTGTAAAACCCAGGGGGTGAAATCACCCTTTGATTGGGGGGTCTAGGGAATCTGGGACCATACTGTTAAGCATCTTTTAATTTAGTCAAACACATATAGTGACATCACTCTGTATGAAGCCCTTTCCTCGAGCCTGGGGATAAAAAAAAAATGGTTAAGAGTGATTTCCTGAAAATCCTACTAAAATATGTTCTAGTAGTGATCAGAATTGCATATTTCTTTGATGTTTAAGATGGATGGTAGAGCAGTAGTCATCAGGGGTTCAATTCTGTGTATACTTATGAGGTTAAGGATTAGGCTGAATGGGTCATATTTCTAAAAGCTTTGATTTCTGTAGTTTTCCTACTTTGTTGTAAAGTAATATTAAAATAAGTCCTGATAATTAAAAACAACATATGTACTGCAAGGGAAAAATTAAGACTACAAAGTCAGATATTTTGGATTGGAATACTAACTTCATCATTTATCAGCTGTACCCTTGAGCAGATGTTTCAGCTGTATAATACTGCATAAGAAACATCCCAACACTTAGTGACTTAAAACAGCAACAGCATTTATTTTGCCAAGTACCTGCAATCTGGAAGTGGCAGGGACAGCTCAGCTGTATCCACTTGGCCTCAGGTGACGTGACTTGAAAGCTGAGGCTTGAATCACATCTCAGTCACTCATATATCTGACTTTTGGTTTGGAAGACTCAGAGGGGGCTGCCTAGATCTGTCTGTCTCCATATAGTCTTTCAACATGATGGCACGGTTGTTTCTGGGTAGGCAGACTTCTTATATGGTAACTCAGGGTTCTTAGGGCTTGTATCCTAAATGGGAGAGAGCTAAGTGGAATTCATATGGCCTTTTCATCCAAGCCTTGGAAGTCATTTGATCTCACTGTTACTGCATTCTGTGTGTTTGTTAGAAGATTTGTCACCAATATCAATCTCTATTCAGTGGAAGGGAAACTCACCTTTTGTGTGAGAATTGTCAAAGAATTGTGGACATATTCAGTACTATCACAGCACATAACTTAACCTCTCTAAACTTAATGTGATTTGGGGGCCACTTGCTCTATCTCTGAAAGTATTACTGTTTTCATTTGTAAAGTAGGTGTGATAATTCATTGGTTGTGAGGTTTGGATGAGAAATTATTGGACTGTTGCTTAGTGTATAAACAAGAAGGCTTATCTAACTTACTTTCAGTGAATTGTGATTCATTATCTTTCTATAAAAGTATTACGAAGGGCTTTCTTACTCATTTTTTCTACCAATTAAATCATGTAACAAAGAAGAAAAGTCAGTCTAGTTGGCAAGTAGGACATAAGCCCATGGAAGGATATAGGAGTGATGAAATGCACTTGTGTATTGGGTAAATGGGGTGTGGACGGCCTGATGACCTGTGTGTAGGGCTTGGTGGGCCAGATCCCAGGTTTCTCTTGTGACTTTATGCTTTTCACTTACAGTTCCTGAGGGAAGATCTCAATTATCATGATCCAACGGTGAAACACAGCACTTTCCATGGTGAGGATAAGCTCATCAGTGTTGAGGACCTGTGGAAGGCATGGAAGTCCTCTGAAGGTAAAAGGCAACCTATCAATCCTAGTCTCTGGAAGGTCTGGAAAAGAGAGAAGATTGGGCAGCAGATTTATCTTAAACAAATATGAGTAAATGAGATGCTTAGTAAAGAACAAATTATTGAAGTAGCTCTATAGCTCTATTACTGAATAAGACAGCTGGGAATAGGGGAAGGATCTCCAGACAGGGTCGGAGTTATTCTTCATTAGAATTCTTATTAAATCTCATCCTATCTCTAATATTCCACCCCTCCCCCACTCCCGCCCAGCAACTTTTGCTGTTTCATTTCTGGAGCTAAGGAGTTATTTGATCTTTTGAACTCTACTGAGACTGAGATAATTCAAAGATTGGGTAGAACTATAGGTGAACTCTCTCCCAAGTCTTTTCTTTTCCAGGTTATACGCCCTAGTTCTTTGAAGAAAACATGCTTTCTTGGTCCTTCCATCTTTGTGTCTTCCTGTGAATGCTTTTGTTAGTGTCTTTCTTAGATTATGATTCCTGGCATTGGATGCCAGGATGTGGCTGTGGTTTGATGAGCACAGAGTTGAACAGGACTGCCTGTTTCTCAGTTCTGGACCCCATGCATCTGTGGGCATATGATTACATGTTGGTGCTTACAGCCATCACATCGCTCTGCTGTCTCATGTGGAACTTATTAGATAAAAACTTTAGGTCTTTTCCATGTGTAAACCTGCTAATCATGACTACCATTCCCCCTGCCTCCCACCCCGGTGATTTACTACACAAGCTCTCATTAGAAGAGTATATCTAATTGTGTGAGATGTGATAGGAAAGGGAAAAACAGAGCTTTATCCTACTCTCCATCTGTATCTCTAGCTAGAGCTGCCTTGGACACTAACAGGATTTGAAGCATCCTCCTCCCAAGGGCTCTTAAAGTAAGGTACTTCTTACTGCTAAGAAGGGTTAAACATAAGTGACCACCAGGATTCCTTGTTTTCTCCATGAGAAACCTTAGGGTTGGATTTATAAAGTTAGTTTTTCATTGTCATGCATTTAGTAAACAGGAAAGGGAGGACTTAGACTTGGGCCTTCTATTCTCCAGGTCAATGCTTTTCTGTACCATCTTGGTTGAAAACATTGGTTTGGTGTTAGAGAAGACCAGTTTTGGTAGTAATGATGTGGTTTCTATTTTTGCTTGAGTATTATAGGATATGAGATCTGGAAGGGGTCACCTATAATGTGAGAGCATTAGATTGGAAGAAGGAGGAACTAGATCTAATTCTGGTTCTAGGCTGACACTTCTTAACTCTTGTCTTATTGATTTAGAAAAATGCATACTCTTGCTGTAGTCAACATTCTGGAACTCTTTGGAAGCTCAGTTATTTGTGGGAGCTTTTATTTAATAGCTTTGGAGCACAGGCTTGTTTACTTTTGATCTCAAACAAAAAACAATTCGTTATTTCACAAATTAGACTTGATAAAATCTAGTCTCCAGTGAAGACATTAATGCACTCTCCCCAATTTTAGGGTCATCACTCCTTCCAATCTCTTTTGGGTAGAGATGCCTCTTTCCTTCTACTGAGGAGGGAAAGGAAGTACACTTTCTGTTGAAGATGCAAGGCACATTGAGTACTGTGGTTTGCTGATTATGCTTACACAGAAACTCTTTTCTAACCACCTTATTTCATTTAAATAGGGTTTCTGTATATTAACTTTCACACTATGGATGAAAGATCAGACAGTAAAATAATCTTTGGAATTATACTAGTAATGTACCAAGAAAAAAATCTATCAGGGCCATTTACTTTTAGTTTTCTTCCTTTCCTGTAAAAACATAGGAGTGTAGTGCCTGGTTTTAAAAAGAGGGACTTAAATGGAAGATGGCAGGAAGAGCATTACTGGTCTTCTCTGAAAGCTCACATAGAAGTAGCTGGGAAGAAAAAGTGACCGAGAGAAGACAGAAATAGAGTGAATAATTATACTACTGGAAAACAACCCAAAACAAATTTCTGGTAAGAACTTTATTCCTGGAATCAACATCTATTTGGAATACTTCTAAACACGTTCTGAATTACAGGAAGATGGAAAACATGGAGCGAATTTTCAGGAGTTAGTCCCCCTTACTGATGAGCAAAGAAAAATATTCTTATGCATAGTGATATAGCTACAGCTAAACGGAGAAGTGATCTATATGTACCATTATAGGATTTGCTCACCATATATCATGCCTGGTAGTTTGACATTCTGAAAGTGAGAATCTTCTTGTTTAGATTCCTCCCACAATGTACCTCATTATTCAGAAGAAGGCCCCTGATCTTTCTAGACTGATGATTTCCAGAGCTACAAAAAGCTTGTAATATTTTGGCATTGGCTCAAATTGGCTCATCTGAGTTTTGCTAGATGATGTAGATATCGGTGGTTATTTGTGACCAAGAAAATTAGCTGGTTAATGTCAGTACTATGTATGTGATGAGTATTGTTAACATTTCCAACTAGTGTTAGGAGCCAGTCTTTCTCTCTATTATTTAGATTTCAGCAGAACAGTCTGATAATCTCTACATTAGTCAGGTTTGGACTTTAGTAATAAAACAGCAACAACAACAACGACTCAAAAACTTTATTTATGTATATTTATGTATATTAATTCATTTCTCACCAAAATCTTATGATGTATAGATACTGTGATGGCCTTCATTTATAGATAAAGAAAATGAGACAAAGAGGGTAATTCAGGGAAATAATGAAATGCATTTCTGTCATCACTGTCTAGAGAGTTCATGCAGCTCTTACACGTTCAGGGCACAACTCCAACAGGAGTTCGCTCACTTCATACAAGGCTAATTAAATAAGGAAGAGTTGTCCTATAAAGACTGAGGAAGGATCTAGATCAAGGGCAAGTCCAAGGATCCCTGCAGCTGAGACTAGGGAATTGATCCTTTCTATTTGGCTGCTCTCAGATATCTGTTTCTCCATTTATCATCTTTAAGAGTCTTTGTCTCATTTTTATGGATCAAAGACATTTTGATGATCAATTTTAGATCTAAATAAATAATACAATTCCAGCTAAAAGCAAAAGAACCTGGTGTTTTCATATGGCTCTGAACTTTATTTTAAGAAAGTGTTTATTTTCTCATTGCTTTTTGGAAATAATGAAATCAGCTCATGGATCTCCTTTGCTATTCTTTTAGGTAGGGTTTTTGCACAGGAGATTGTGGAACAGTACTGGACAACTAGGAGGCTTTTAGAGATAAAACCCTGCAGAACTGGTCTTTCTCTGTTGACATAACAGAGTGGCCAGCTGGCATTGGACTTCTGTCTAAACCAGACCAATATAAAAGAGTTGGTGTCCTCTTTTTGTTTTACATAAACCCATTGAGGGACATGTTTATTCTGTTCTGCTAACTATTTAGAAATACTTTGCTCAGTAAAGTGTGCAGTTATTTAGTTAAATGCCTCAGCCATTTGTTGCTACATTTGGGAGGGGCTGAATGGGAGAAAGAGACAATTGGTAAAGTTTCCGTCAACCTCAGCTTCTTTTCTGAGTATGAAAAATTCAAAAGGCAAGGAGTGGAACTGCTTAAAGAAGTCAGGTGAAGAAAATGTAGCTGTGTCAGTAGAGGAACAGTAGGTATCTAGTTAACTAAATTTAAGTACATCAACTTTATAAACTAAAGGAAAAAGAAGTACAGAAAGTGACAAAATTTCTATTCACTGAAGCCAGCATAAGCAATTGTTACCGGGCAACCCCAGGAAGAAAGGGATGACCTGGAAGTTGAGTCCTTACCAGCACCTAAAATCTCAGTACAGAATCAAATAAAGGGTTGGGGGGGAGAAATACCAATAATAATAAATAAATAAAAAGCAAAATTAGCAGGCAACTATCAATTGGAGACATTTTGCAAGGGAGGGGAATGAAGAGGGATCAAAATAAGGGAGGGAAGAGCACAAGTGACGGTGGTGACAGTTCATGGGTGAATTGGTGATGGGAATTTTATGGGGACTACACCTGAAGGGAAATTGTACAAAAATGAATAATGATGTGATGTAATACAGAGTCATGCAGTTCATTGCATGATGGGGATAGAGATCTTGTCTGATTTTAAATTATGTTGTTTTGTACTGTTGAATTCTGTAAGGTCTTTCTATATTCTGTATTTTTATATTATGCTTTGAAGACATTTCTTCCAGTCTTTGCCTTGTCTTATTCGCTGAATGCATTTTGAAGAGCAGAAAGTTTAGTTTTTCTGAATCTAATTTACCAGTCTGTCCTTATATGGATCATGGTTTGGTGTCATATAGAAGAAATCTGTAAATCTTTGCCTAACCCAAGATCACACAAACATTATCTCTGATGTTTCCTTTTAGAAGTTTTAGAATTTCAGGTTTTATATTTCAAACTATGATCTGTTTTGTATTAATTTATGTGTTTGGCAGTAAGTATGGATACTAGTACTTTTTAAAGAAGATTTATTTATTTATGTATGTATGGAAGACCTGGGGTGTAGGCCAGAGGTATGGGGGAGTGAGAGGATTCACCAGAGACTGAGTGGGGAACAAAACAGGCAGGTTTATTGAAATACACTGCTAAGGGGAGCAGCGGGTAAGACAGGAGAGGTCTGCGCCATGTGTTTGAGCTCAGGCCACAGTGGTGATAGTGCTGAGACTTCACCTGTAGGCCACGGGAGGCCCTGGATCCTAGTTCTTTTTTTCTTTTTCTAATATATTCATTACATCAACCTTCATTTTTGTACAACATATAGTTTCTCCATGAAACTCCCTCCACCAGTGCCCCTGTGCACCATCATCATACTCCCTTGTGTTCTTCCCACCCCTGTCCTGGCCCTTCTCTCTCCTCCTCCCCTACACAATGTCTCTGATCTATAGTTGTCTGATAATTTTGATTTTTACTTTATTATAGTTACTTTTTTTTTATTCCTTTTTTGTTGCAGCACAATTTAAAGTAGGTAAGCTGTGGGAGCAACCCAGATACCTAATTCTTTTTTGTGTTTATGGATACCCCAGTTAATCTAGGATGATTTATT